CCGTTGTTGACGTGAAAATCGTTTTATAAAAATGATGAAAAATTAATTGTGCTGGAACCTGCACCTAAATTATTACGGACTCCTGGAAAATCTTCAGGACATAACCCTCATTACACATTACCTCATACCATATATATACATATAGGACATTACCTCAACCAGGAGAACATACTGTAGAGATATTGAAGGAATTGGGATTTAATACCAAAAATATAAATGAACTTATTAAAAATGGGATTGTTTACGTATGCACGAAATCCAATTTATAAAAATTTAAATCATGTGTTCTCTTCATCTATTGTTATCAGGGGTGCTAAAGTACACAAGCCATTATCAGGGGCGTAAAGGATATATTGTAAATTAAATTGCATAAAACTTGAGAAATTTTTAATCAAGTTTGATAAAGTCAGATATAAGGGTTTTTGTATCCATAAAATATGTTATTATATACGGTGGTAAATTGTTGTTTAAAACTAAGGGATGGTCTTAAATTAAACACATTATTTCCCATCTTTAAATCAAATATAATATGAGTCATTTCTAACTCACAATTCGAATCAACATTTTCCCCTTTAGCTTGTGATAAACGTTTTTTGCCTATATAAGTAACAAAACTTATGAACATATTAAAATCCATACCGAAAACAGATTTTAATATTAATTGACACTGATCAGAGAATTCTTCAGTATCTCTAAGTTCTTCTATTTGATTTTCTACAGAGGTTAAATTATTTTGTAAGGACGTCCACATTTGTTCTATATTGCACCCATTAACCCAATTGTGATTAACTGATATTGTGTCCATAATGTTTATTACCTGATGATGCCACCCTGATGGAACAAACAAAACATCACCGTTTTCTTGTATGATTTCAAAATACTTTATATCAAGGTTTTTATCTTTGCAATCATTATAGAACAAAGGGTAATTACCCAATTTATCTTTAATCTTATTTTCTTCGCCGGGAGGAAATAAAAGCCACTTTTTTTGCCTATCACATTAACAGACCAACTAAACGAAGAATAAATATCTGCATGGAATGGAGTCCTGAAAAAAAATTTGTAAAATTAAGTATTTTACATTCGAAGTGGAAATGGGTTTCCACATTTTATTTTACTTTATTGCAATGCTTACCATGAGTTTTGAGGACCAATATAAACAAACATGAAATCATCGTCCCCGTGATCATTAGCAAATTCATTTAACCAATCAGATGAAAAAATCTCAGGAACTGCATAAAAAGTATCGTTCGGACGAAGTCTTTTCAAATGCCAATCTTTACCAATTTTAATAGCGTACTTAAAAAATAAAATGCCAGATGTCTTTGCTGTACATTGCGTTATTCATAGACAACATTTGGTTGCTATTTATTTTATTTAAATTTTTAATTCTTTAAATTGAAGTGAACGACTGTTTCAATCTTAGATTATGGAAACTAAAGGACATGTTATGTTGACATATATAAATCAGACGTCATATGTATATGATGCATTTCGATGTTGAAAACATAAGCATGTTATTGTCTTTGTTTAACTCTTGCGTGCCGTCTTAAACCAAAAGAGATAGCATCACATTGGTCTGTGTCAAACACAGGAATCGAAAATACGTTACGTCATCTTAAATGCTAACCGTGTCCATTTCGCTGTACATGAGGTACATGATACGATTGTCAAAGGGAAGTACATCAAATGTCGAAACAAGTGTTTTTCCAAGTCTTTTATTGAATTATTCGCATGCATTGTAATAAAATGGACAAAAATATTGACATATTTACAATACATAATACAGAAATATTTTTTTTCTATGCAAATTCACTTTTCGTAATATTTGAGTATTTGTAAACGCAAAACAATAAATTCAAAATTTCGTGACATTCCCGGGTATTCCCATATAACCTAAAATATTCCCAAACGGAATATTGATCTACATTAATTAAATGATTGCATGTCGATAATAACTTATCGATAGATTATGGTACGACACTAAAGAAATCCGCCATTTGCTTGTTCTATTTTTGTTTAGGTATATACGTTCATTCCGTAGTTAGGGCAGCTCCTTTCTTTTATTTTTTTTTTCCATCCTCTAAGATTTCAATCACTGCAATATGTCATCAAAGCAGTCAATAAAATCAGTAACAGATCTCTGAATGATAGATTATTTCATCAGCTTTATGTTACTAATGACAAAGATTTCAACCGTTTGTTGTTTCATACTGAAGTTCGTTGGCTATCAAGAGGCAATTGTCTGACTCGATTTTACTACCTGTTTGACTCTGTGATAGAGTTCTTGGAAACTAAAGATACAGAAATGCGCAACAAGCTCATTACATCAAATAATGATATAGCTTACATGGCAGACCTGTATAAATTGTTCAACGACATGAATCTCCAACTGCAAAGCGATGAACTGAGAACTGATGAACTGAATTTAATTGAAACAAAAAATGTCGTTGCTGCTTTCACAGCCAAACTGCTTCTACACAAAAAGAATATGGAATACAGACGTGAGTTTCACAATTTTCCGAATTTATCAATATCCTGCAGTAACAACGATTAGTTTGCCTACTGCCAACATTTGGAAAACCTCCACATTGACTTCACCGAACGATACCAGGACATTTTGAACTTGGAAATACCAGATGGGTGTTGGATCCGTTTTCAAATGTCAACACAGCAATATCACCTCAGCTGGAAGAAGAACTTATAGAATAGACATCGAACGAGGAAATTAAAATCAAGTTCAAAAATGGCTACTAAGAATTTTGGCTACAAAAACCGATTCCCCAATTGTACCCTGGATTGTAGTCAATCGTTCAACGATCCTTGATAGCATTCCCATCGTCATATTTGTGTGAACGTGGTTTAGCGCTGTGACAACGCTGCTTACTAAAAAGAGAAATCGTTTGCATGTTACCGAACGTGGTGACTTGCGGCTGTTCTTGAGTAAGTAAATTGGAACCTGATATCAACAAACTTATTAAACAGCATCGGATTCATCCTTCACATTAGTTTTTATATTAGAATCGATTATGTTTGTTTTATTTTGAATATAAGATACTCTGTCTGAATACTATAAAGTTGCGTTTCAACAATCATTCTCAATAGCAGGTGTAGCCCGTAAAAGTTAACTTGAGACCTAAGCGCCGTTGTGTACTACCTACTGCGCTCAGGTTTCAAGTTAACTCTTGCGGGTTATAGTAAAAATCTCGTTTAGAATGATTATTTAATCTCCGCTAATATAGCTCACAATAATTAATTTAATTTGAAGTTATAGTGGTTTTTAAGTAGGTGAAAAAATGGGGGCGCTAAAAAATAATTTATTCTCAAAGTGGGCAGTAGATAAAATAAGTTTGGGAACCCCTGGTGTAGAGGGTAGTGTACATATACATCAAACCATGTCGCTAACAATTGCTTGCAACTAGTCATTATTAACCTTAAATACCCGTCCATGAGCCTCATTTGCCAGGATAAAATTTCCACTGCGGAATCGGGCAAACCAAATACGCCCAGTGGGTCCGTGTGTTGTTTCCGTTCCACACACCTCGTTGATGTTTCGAGTCAATGCGTTGCATTAGCGCCACGTCAAAATTCGTATTAAAAAATTACACGAATTGTAACAATATCAATTAGCCATTTTCATTAAAAAAATAATGCAAAGTAAACCAAAACGGAAACGAATTAATTACGCCAATTTCTTTTTATTATAGTCTTTCATTGACTTAAAGTCAATGTAGTCTTTACATATTGTTTGAAAAAAGTTTGGAATGCAAATCTCACACTAAAAAAGACTCGAACGGCCAGTATCTACCTTAAAACAGCGATTTCGTACTTTAACTCCTAATAGAATTTATACACTTATTTCACGGTTTTAATTGCCTATAATTAAAATAAGACAAAATTTTGAAAATTTGTGATTATTTTAGTTAATTGACTGTACTTCAATTTAAATCCCCCCTTTATGATCCAACTAGCCAATTTGTTAACATACAATAGTCGTAATAGCTTGATTAACAACAATTTAACAAAATGTCCACTATCACCCCACAAAAACAAACTTTATAATATATTTTTTATTTTTTTAACTCTTGACTTATTTAAGAGCTTTGACCATTATTGAACGTACGTCAGTCCCATTGGGAAAACAGTATACATAAAGAAAACACTTAATAAAATCTAAATAGATAATGAGAGGAACGAAAGGAGCCTCTCCTCAAGAACGTACCATCCCTTTCCTGGATCTGGCGCACCCTTTGGGCAACAATCCACGAATACCTTACGCCGGTTGGTAAACCCTTTCACCACGATGGCAAGCTTTAGAGTTTATGCCATCGACACGATATGAATGTATGAATAGATAATTCAAAATACTATTTAACCAAGCATGCATACAAAATTTAAAATCTTAAATGAGTCTCCCAAAATTAAAATACAACACGTTTTCCCCGGTCATAAGATGACGAAAATCACGCGATAACTAGTTAAAATCAATCAGCAAACCGGAAAAACCGGTTATGCAAATCACTTCCTAATTAGAACAGAATAAATGTGATACAATAATAATGTAAATGTGAAATGGCTTTTTAATCAACGTACAGTTTCACATTTAAGAGTTTTTATAAACCGGCGTAAAGCACAAGGAGAGGTAAAAATTTAACGGTTATTATTCTTAAAAGCCTTATGAGCAGTTTATTTTAAATGTGTTTTGTTATCGAGAGCATTAGGTTGATTTTCTTTGCGAAAACTTTGAGACAATTACTATGGATAAGTTCGCTATAGCACAGTTTTTCCTGTTTTCATCTTTTATCTTTATGAATAATAATAAAACAACATACACTTTTTCATTTGGCGATTCTATCACAAGAAGCACAACGATGTTTTAACTATCATTTACTTACTTTTACATAGTACGTGGGTAACATATTTTACTTTTTTGATATTTATTTTATTATAAAATTGTATCTACAATAATTTATCAAAAATCTTTCTAAAACAAAACTCACCAAACTTAGCCCATCGGTAATTTCCGGTACCAAATTCACAATCAAAACCGCAACACAAGCCCACACACAACGCATTTTGCACAAAAATTGTAATAATTGAAAATTATTTTAATACATAAAAATTACTTAATAATCAAATACTTTACACAATAACGATGTTTAACGCGCGACTAGTTTGCGTGTAGCCGTCGAGTGGCTGTGCGAGAGTGGACAATCAGGCTGGCGCAACCTGGGGACTCGAAGTAGGGACCAGACCTTGACCGTAAAGGCTCACTGACTCACTTACGGAGATACCTGTCCCGCCTTTACGAATCGATTATCACAAAAAAACAAGTAGTCGACTTAAGTGTCCTTTTCATATATATGTATATATATATATATATGTTACTACAAGTCGTCAGTCGCCTTTATCGTACGGATTCTTTTGTAATGTTGCAAAGATATGGGCAATTATTAAACACTTATGTGATGGACACAGGAACTGTAAAAAGTTGTATTATGAAAACAACGTTTAATTGAACCTTAGAGGATGGATTCCATAGTCTAAGAAATGAACCAATGGCCACATTTTCCAGAAAGTTTCCGAAACCAAAAGACGATTGAAGTCATTCTTTTTTCAAATTATATGTTCTAGTATATATGGCCAGTGCTTTATTTAATATAATTATTATTATTAATAATTATTATAGCATTATTATTATAATTCAACCTTTTTTTCGTTCGTCTAAATAATGTTCATGAGTGTATTAATTACAATTGTCATATACTTCTAGTCTCAGTAGCCAACGTGACAACTTTTTATTAGTTGCCACTGTGACTGTGACTACCTTTGTAGGACTAACTACATTAGCCGGAAATCAATGGGATTTTGTTGTTTTTAAAAGCTTCACACATTGTCTTTTAGAAATATTGCGTTGAAGTTTTTACTACAACATAATTCCAAACTACGTCGCCAATGTCACGGTAACGAAAATACATGATTTTAAAGGACAAGGTAACAAGTAGACATCCTTTTAGAATTATAATTCTAAAAGGATTATAATTCTGAGAAAGATTGTTTTGGCTTAATTAGTCACACTATTTTAATACAATCGCATTACACTGCAGGCAAAGTAAATGATTATAAAAAGCAACGGCGGGTCACCAAAAAGACAATATCAAGCAATATCACCAAAAAACATTTGACAGTATAATTAAAAGTATAATTAATTACAAAAGATACATAAAGTATAACGATTTTATCAGTAATATTCCATAAAAACTTTTGATTCGAGAACCTAAACAAAAACGTAACCGTTCCAATTTTGGGCATCACATTACTAAACAATAAAATATAGAACAAGAATAGTTAACCTTAATGGTACCTAAACATTCTTAACTTTACAAAATCTGTAGACCTGCAGTTAAATTAGAAAGATCATTAAAAAACAAGTAAATACGTAATGTTTTGAAGTTGTCCTCATCATAAAAAGAAATACCAACGTAAATAAAGGAATTTCAAAATCAATTACCGTAGTAGTTAATCATTCATAAAATGGATTCTCACAAACAATTTGACGATAGAATTTCTCAGAAACTTTTTCAATTATGCAAATTAACGAAAAAAAAAGAATACAATGCTTAAAAGTAGGTAGTTATCCCCATACCCACCTAAGCAGATAAAAATGTACGGACATCAGACTACACAATTTTGTTCGAAAATCGCCTCCAGTGCAACGGAACAAGATACGTCAATGTGTATCTTGATGTGCTGGCGTGTGTACTATATAACTACATACCTGGGGGCCTGGAAACCTTTTATACAGACTAGGTCTAGCTTAGGCTTCAGTCTTCCACCAATGTGACTAATCTTTACGTACCACATAGTTATTACGTACGTTGTATTTTTTTTTCTGTAGAAACAAATAATTTTGTGTTTGTATTGTACGTATTACACACAAAACGTAATTAAAATTGTGGTTAAAGGTGGATAAAGTCATTTTATATTTAGTTTTGTCAATACTCGCCAATGGTACTGTGCACGTGTGGTCTTAACTTTGTAAGCAATTAAATAAATTCCTATAAAAAAAGAGCGACGCAATGAAAGGAAATAAAAATAATATTTTTTAAATTAATTTATTTAAAAACAATAAACGAAAACACCATTAGAAGAGGATACAATGAGAATCTCTATATAAATTTTCGGCCCTGCTTGTGGTGGAAGTGAAGGTATTGTGTATAATAGGCAAAGCTTTGCCGTAACGCCTGTTATAGATGCAATGGCAAATATAACTTAAAATAATAAAATTAAAATAGTTGTAAAATAGGTACAAACTCCAGACACTCTGCAACAGGCGCTACTGTGTCAGTGGCATACAACACTCTTATTTTTGTACGACACCTGAAGCACCCTAATCAACTGCTTGTTATTATTTGTAATGTTTTTCCCTTGTCTTGGTCTTTATACCGATCCTCGAAGACGACGAAGGAAGTATTTCACTCAAATGTGTCCAAAGCTAACTTCGTAAATGTAGACAGACAAATCTAAAGCCAAAATAAGGTACTTTATGATGTAAGTGAAAGATAACATTGCAGAAGAACCGGCGAGCTTATATTCGATTATCTAGCACATTGACTAAGTCAATGATCTAGCATTATTTTTGTAGTTTTTACAATGTACCCACAGACCACATAAATACTAGTTCTTCTTTTCTTTCTTCCGTAAATGTAACTGTTCCTATCAATTGAAATCAACCGCTCAGAAAAAAAGCCAAAAGTCGTCTAACAGCTGTCAACCTGTTTTGATAAAAGTCAGTGACACATAAAAAGACCTAAAAGTGGTAAATTTGGGTAAATTCATAACCTCGCAATTTGAAATTTTTTTTAAATACTTTATAAAAATATTAAGCTTAAAAATGTCCGAAGAAGACTTCTCGGACTTCAAGGTGATTATTTACCTACCTACAAAAAAAGCAGCGAAAGTAAAAATATGTGAAATGGTTTCATTTGTTTTGTATCTAATGTTCCAGCTGCCACCGATCTTAGATGATTTAAGTGAAAGAGTGAAGGAGTACCTTTTGAAGCCTGAGAGACTATCCATCCACCGCTGGGAAAGGTCACAGACGCACTGGCACCGGGAAACTGATGTGGACTCTCTTTTCAAAATTGATGATGATGATGTTAAGCCTGATTCAACTCTTGAAGTAAGTAATGAAGGAAACTCATGAATTAGTATGTATCTGCAATGTTTTTCGATTCCTACCTAAGAATTTTAGTAAAAAAAAATTGTTACCAACTTATTATATGAAAACTATTTAATTTAAAAAAATATTGTTTGTTTATTTTTATTTTATTGTGTGTCTAACAACAGTTTACTATAACACTTGTTGAAAATCGCATGACAGTAATATCATCAATAGTAACAATATCAGATCATTATTGACAAACAGGCATTATTGTCATGTCTAAATGGAACAATGAAAAGTAAAGTATTTAAAAAATCAAAATAAATTTCAGGTTGTCCGTGACCCTATAACTGGAGAAATAATAGGCATAGAAGAGATAAATGTACCGCAAGAAGATGATGAAGATAGTTTGTCCATGTCCCGTGCGCCACTGCCACCGAGCATGGCCACTAGAGGAACAACTACACAAAGTCCATTTTTACCAGCTGGGTTTGAAGAGGAACTAAAGAAAATGTTGGAGGAGACTGGTCAGCATGCAGAAATCAATATTAATTTAGAAGCTAAAGAGGTTGGGAAATTTTTGGGAGAAGGTTGGTATTGTCTGCCCATAAATTATAAATATATCTATTATACTATAAGTAATACCTAAAACTTCCTTAGTGTGTTATTAAAATTCTTACTTTTAGTAAGATGTTTAGTCACATATCATACAGACACACAGTGTCATGTTTAAGCAATATAGCTACCCATAACAGTTACAATGCTCCTCAGAGCTTTGAGTCACAATAATCGCCCTAAGACATAAAGTTGACAACGCTCATCGTTTCTCAAGCACACTTACCCTTCAAAACCAGAATGCAGTAATGCTCCCATTACTGTTTGACTGCAGAAATTTGTACGGTTGCAGTACTTCCCTGGACGAACTCTTTCACAAAAAGCCCATGCAAGCCAAAGCATGGAGTCCCCAGTAGGACTAGCACGACAGCGCGCGACTTGCGTGAGAGCGACATAGAAACTCGAGATCATCGAGTATATAACCAGAAATAGAGATGAAATGTCATTTAATTTGTTTGAAAACTATTTTGCCATATCATTACTGTGACAAGTGTGCTCCGATTGTCTAGCCCGAGTTCGAAACAATTGACGGGTGTCATCAACTGTTTCACTTCTAATCGACCAGTTAACTTGAGCTTTGCTACAATGGACGAAAATTGCAAAATTACATATTTCATATTTAATTGCCGATGAAATGTAATTCCGTTTGTTTTGTAATTAGATGTTTTGCTGTTTTTCCCACACCACCGAATAGAACAGCATGGCATTGTCTTATCTTTATTACAATTGTACAGAATATTTTTTGGAATATACGGAGACGTACACACACGTCAGTAGTTGGCCTGTCTATATTTCAGTGCAAATGGGAGTTGATATTTATAAGAGCTGTGTCGCTAATGTGTTACCAGGAATATATGGCCCTTATTTCGTCTCTATTTCTGGTTATATACTCAATGCTCATGATGTGAGAATAGCAGTATGTCGCTCTCGCGCAAGTCGCGCAAGTTACTGTAAGTGACACTTAAGGACTATAAAAAATCATGCCTGTGTCACAGCCACTAGTTAGAAACCTAAGATGGAGATGGGCCTCATACATGTATCGCCTGCCTTAAAACATGTACATTTTATATTTACAGAAATATTAACCATACCTCCTGGGTGCAAAGAAGGTGTAACATTTGACACAGATAGCATGACAGTACTGAACCATCCCTATCAGGAAGAAACCAAGAAGATTGAGAGTAAAGAAGACATCGACATTCAGATCAAAATTAACCTGGAGGAAGTAGTTGATAGCAATGCTCATTTAGTTGGTAACAAGTTGTCCATTGTCTTAGTTTAGTAATGATTGCATACTTTAAAAAAACAGAAGTGGAAAAGTGAAAACTACAGTAATTGGCAAGTTTTTTACAGGTAAAATGCAAAAAATTCAACTGAATTCATAAACTCTCCAAAAAGGAGACCACAGGGGCCATACATGCTTATCTATCTCAAGTTTTATCATTTGTGATAGTTTTCAAAACCAATCTAAATTCTGGGATATCAATTATATTGTTGTGGTACATTGCAGGTCTCTGGAACGACGACGATGACCTCAAACCCACGCTAAAGCACACTCCCAAGAAAATAGACCCAGATTCAGATACAGGCAATGACAATTTCCTTGAAGACACAATCAACAGGCCTCCAGTGGAACTTCCAGAAATACCTATATTAAATATCACCAGCTCGGCAGTGAGGGCTGGAGTAACATCAACGGAGTGGGCAGAAATGATCGATGTGTCACAGCCTGTGCCAGATTTTAGAGAGAAAATTAAGGATATGGCTCACTCATTTCCGTTTGAGTTGGATAATTTTCAGAAACAGGTATTTGCTTATTAATTCTGTTATTATCAGTGATCGGAATTGAGGGAGTTAATTTAGTGATCTAAAGGGTAATTATTATTTCCCATTAAGTATTTGCTACAAATTATTGTTTAAAAACAATAATATTGTAGTAGTGTTTTTATAGGTACATGCATATTTAAATACTTTAGTAATTTAAACAATTACCAAGAGACAACATATCGCACTGCTATTACAATAGTGTTGTAACTCAAAATAAATGAAATTCAAGGTTATACTATTGCTGAACGTAATATTTGATTCTCTACACGTTAATAAAACCTTCGTCAAAATATTGTCAGAAACAATTAAAATCAATCTATTTAACTCAAAATGAGACTAACTTTTTGCGGACTAGTTCTGGATAAAACAGTCTTAATAAATAAATTTCTAAAAAATATTAAGTTATTTTTTCCTTTTATTTGGCAAGTAGGGAATTATTTAGATGTCTGTAATAAATAAAATTTATCCTATACATACATATATTTTAATAATATTTCGCTGGAAGTGAGTAATTAGCTTTTCAGCGATTCTGAAAAAATACACTTTTTGAGTTAATACACTATTGTATTAACAGTGCGATATATTTTATAATGTTTATTGAAGAAACAAAAAAAAAATTTCACATGCATTGATGACGAAATGGGTACCTACTAAGAAAACGTTCATACTTTGGGTCAAATAACTCCCTCAATTCTGATCACTGGTTATCACTAACCACAACATATCCGATGGACTCGGATTTTCAGTGATCAATAACTAATTTAAAGTTCAGAGCTTAAGTCCGATCCATAGCTTAGTTGGTAAGAACGAGCGGTGATAGTAGCCGTTTTCTTTTAACGCATACACTCATAACCCCGCACTACGGAAACCCTGTATCACGGGTACTATGGACATACACATAGATGACCACAAATTACAGCCAAACTCACGAGAGAAATAAATGTAGGCCATACAAATATTTTTCCCGGCCCGAGAATAGAACCCAGGACCTATCGGTCGGATTGACATTTTTGTTTCTGTTTGTTCAATCGTTACATCAATTTGGATGCAAAGACAATTCAAGATATTCACAGTGTAAATGTATAATAATTTATAAATAATACAGACATAACAATGTTGTGTCGGATTGGATGATATGTGATCCTCAATTTTTCAAAGTGATCTGTGATATTACAAACACAGTCGTGTGATCACAAATTGTAATAATACTCATCATCATCAGTAGTTGAAACAGTATCAGTTCCAGGCATCGAGTATATAACCAGAAATAGAGACAAAATAAGGGCCATCCATGCCTGGCAACTCATAAGGCAAATGGGCCTTATATCACTTTTAAATATCAACTCTCGTTTGCGCTGAAATCACAAATTAAAAAGCTGAAATAATGCGCCAATAATTGACCTGTGTGTACGTCTCCTTATATTCCAAAAATATTCTGTATATATTGTAATAAAGATAATATCTCTAACAATGAGGGGCCCGTTCCATTCGGTGGTGTGGGAAAAACAGCAAAACATCTAATTACAAAATAATCAGAATCACATTTCATCGGTAATTAAATATGTAATTTTTAAGATTCCGTCGATTATAGCAAAGCTCAAGTTAAACTGGTCGATTTGAAGTGAAATAGACAACGACATAATTGTTTCGAATTCGGGCTGGCCAATCGGAGCGAAGTTGTCACCGTAATGACTTGGCAGAATAGTTTTCAAACAAATTAAATGACATTTCGTCTCTATATCTGATTAAATACTCGTAGGTTCCAAGTTACTTTGCCTTACTTTGTCGACAACACTAAAACATACAAGACAAAATTCAAAGCTTGTTTTGCGTGTAAAAATGTACATAAGTAGGCCCTGTATCTGTTAGAAAAGTTTTTTATGCTGTATATAAATTTTCAGGCTATTCTAAAACTGGAAGAAGGTCACCATGTGTTCGTTGCAGCACATACGTCGGCCGGCAAAACTGTAGTAGCAGAATACGCCATTGGTATGTCGAGGAGAAATTGTACCAGGTAAACTAAAAAGATTTTGAGTCTTTAAAAAGAAATCTGTTTTGTGTAACAGATTTCTTTATTTATTATTTTAATATCTTAACACGACATTCCCATTGTTAAAATGAACAATTTTGTTTTACGATTCAATTTTTCAACTTCCCATATAAAGAAATCAGCCGTGGAAAGCTCCTCAATTGAAAGTTCGACGGTAAAAAATTCTGTGGCGAAATTTTTTATGTAACATCAAGTGACGGGACGAGCAAGTCGTACGCCTGATGGTAAGCTACACGCCTGTCCATAACAGTTGCAGTGCCACTCAGAGCTTTAAATCACGAAGGTCTGAGGCGCACTGCTACTGCGCCCGCCCTGATACATAAGTTGACAAGTCCCATGTGCCTGTAATTTCACCAGGACCCTTACTCTTCTATACCGCAACGCAGTAATTCTCACATTACTGCTTGCCGGCAGAAATAGGTAGCAGCTTAATTTTGATTGCCTCTCCCGATCGGAAACTTCGTTTTTTCCGAGTCGAGGTGCATAATTGCGATTCACAACTGGCCGATCGGAAACTTTTGCCATTTCTAATCGGAACAATAGTTGATTTAACTCACAAATTAGAAAGGTATAGTAAGAGTCAGGTTCATCTTCTCGCTCAGAAACCCATCTGATTTCGAGACTACCCGATCGATTCCGATTTGAATCAATTTCAAAACGATGGTGGCAGTACTTCCCTGGACGAACTCTTTCACAAGGAGGTCTACTGCTACTATTTGCGAATGAGTCAAAGTCATATAATCATTTATTCCGCAGGCAAAATTTTTACACATGAAAACGTCATTTCTTAAGCTACTGCTCCTTCACTGTGCTGATTTCCCTCGGAGCAACGAGCAAAAAATACTAGGGATTACTATTTTGAAATAAACTTAAATGCTATGAAATACACTTTGAATCATATTTGTGTGGAATCTAGGCTCATGTTGTCTTTCCATACATTTTTATCTAACACGTAGTCTTCAATTTTGTAATATAACTTTCCAGTAAAAAATACTTTTAATGTAAGTTTTAGACTTAGGAAATAATAATCTTAAAATATGCTCCGGAATCTTATTGTAAAAACGTTTAGTTCCCTGTAAGAGAAAGTTTACCTTACCATGAGTTTGGACTTAGTTCTAACGTTAATATTATGGATATCTTCTTTCGTAATGAAATTATGTGTATTTTTACGACCAAAATATTTGAGTAAATATACTGTGATGCCACAAACATTAACATGATCATGATACCAGTTTCCTTAAACTTTTCTCTGAGAGAACCTAAAAGACAGTATTTAATTAATTGGACTTAAAATTTACAATTAAATAAAAATATTTAATTGAACATTTGATATTTCTATTGAGCAAAAAACTTTTTTTACTTTCAGAGCAATCTACACGTCTCCCATTAAAGCGTTATCGAATCAAAAATATAACGACTTCAACAAGACGTTTGGCGAAGTGGGTCTCCTCACTGGTGACTTACAAATCAACTCCACGGCGTCGTGTCTTGTGATGACGACTGAGATCTTAAGATCCATGCTTTACTGTGGCTCTGACGTCACCAGGGACTTAGAATTTGTTATATTCGATGAAGTACATTATATCAATAATGCTGAGGTAAGTATAATTATATTTGTACAGTCAACAGCACATCAAGCTACACATTGACGTATCTTGTTCCGTTGCACTGGAGGCGATTTTCGAACAAAAATATGTAGTCTGATGCGGTGTTGTCCGTACATATATTCTAGCAGTTTAGATTCTGGTTGTCATTTTTTATAACCTTGCACATGTGAGGTAAATTTCCTTGATCTATTATAGTCATACAGTTTATCTAAAAAGACAATCGACTAACTAAAAAAAATATTACATGTCTAATGAGTTGGTATGTGTAAAGATGTTGAATGTATCAATGCCATAAATGTTGTTTATTATTCTCGTTGGATACTCACTTTTCGGCAAAACAAAACTTTTCTTCCTGGTTAAACCAATTTAGGTGCTGCTTCTGGCTTGTTTAAGTGATAATGTATAATTTTAAATATTGATTTTGAATTTTAGTTTTTAGGTTACGATTTTTTAAATATATTTTGTTATTTTCATATTTCCATATTTAATTTTTTACTTTTATTTTATATCTATTTAAATAGCAATTTGTGTTCGTTGTAACGTCATTATTATTAATATTATTATTAAATTGACTGCTGCGGCGCTCGTCGGTTTCCCTAATTTGAGACAGGGTAATTTTTGTGACAGTCTGGCACATTATTTATTTATCTTCCGCTTCCCACAGCGAGGCTACGTATGGGAAGAAGTACTAATTCTCTTGCCAGCACACGTGAGCATCGTGATGTTAAGTGCAACTGTACCGAACACATTGCAGTTCGCCGACTGGGTCGGACGCACCAAAAAGCGAAAGGTTTACGTTGTTTCGACGCCGAAGAGGCCTGTACCTCTTTGCCACTATCTTTATACTGGTAACAACTTTATATCATTTCAAATTCTCATCAGTCCATTTGGTAATACTATTTTGAAGAATGATCAGGTTAAAAAATGAAAAGTAATTCGTTCGCACATTAGCTGAAGTTATTTGTATACGCAGACCAGATAACCAATTGACGGGGCATCTTGATAATTTTGCTCGAAACACATTTCACTGATTTTCGGCGAGGTGAGGGGCTGACTTACAGCGTCATTTTGGCATCTGGTTGGTCAGTTGTCTTAGGCTTGTGTAGCTAGGGATTTCAATAACTCTAATAAAACAATTACCGATACCGAGAAAACCTAATCATACGTTGCACAATTTATGTCATTTTTAAACGTCGACTATAAATATTTTAATCCATAATGTACGTCATTGGTGAATATAAATATTACATGACACCGTACCAACCTAATCATTCTCCAATTCTACTAAATGTACTGCCAACATTTCTTTCCATCAGATATTCGAAATTTATATTCATACTAAATACTGTTAATTAAAGAAAACCATTTCATTTAATTTGTCGTTCAATTTTATTTTCATTAATATAAAAAAGTAACAATTCATAATGTACTATTTGCACCTAATTAAAATAATGTAAATATGCACCACAAGTGATTAAATAATAAATAAATTAGTACCTAACGTTTTACTTTTCTAGTTAAATATCGCGACTCGTCGACATAATGTTTAGAACGCATAGGTGCAGCACTGTCTAGGCAGAAAAAAGAGACAAATGGATGTGAATATTTGGATGATAGAAAGAGAAACAACCACAGAGATTGCAGTTGTGATTTTAGTCGTGACTTATTGTTTTGCTATCCTTGCAACAGATTATTAATCAAATATTTATTATTATATTCCATTCCTTCAGTAACATGAATTACTCGTTTTCTTTCCACACATTTTACTGCACAATTAGGTTTTTTTTTTCGTAAAAAATCAGAAAAAACTCGCGCACGTGTCTTGGCGTAAGGACAAACTCCTACACTCCGAAATAAAAAATCGCTGTAGCCACTTTATTTAGGGGCTTGGTCGTGAAATTATTTCCCCCGCAATACCAGTCAATTGGTTATCTGGTCTGCTGCAGCAGTAACGCGGCTGCAGCGCCACTGCCAATTTTCATATAATATTTAGAAGCGCAATTGCAGCGCCACTGTCGTGACATGCGCGCGCCACTTTAGCAGTCACATTTAGTTAACCAAAATTGCCGAAGCACTGCAGTCACGCCACTGCGGCGCTTCTACAAGCGTCTAATTTGAAGGCGCCTTAACGGCTTGCTCTGTAAGCTCTGCATTCGGTTTCGTTTCGCTTTCCGGTGAAACTAATTTGGGAAATGAATTTTCGTTTCGGGCAATGTCCCGGAGCATCGAGTATATAACCAGAAATAGAAACGAAATGTCATATAATTTGTTTGAAAACTATATTATGCCATATCATTACGATGACAACTGCGCGCCGACTGGCCAGCCCGAATTCGAAACAATTGACGGGTGTCGTCAAATTGTTTCACTTCAAAGCGACCAGTTTAGCTTTAGCTTTGCTATAATGGACGAAAATTGCAAAATTACATAGTAAATATTTAATTACCGTTGTGATTCCGTTTGTTTTCTAATTAGATGTTATGCTCTTTTTCCCACACCACCGAATAATACAGCACGCCATTGTTAGAGATATTACTTATTACAATAAATACAGAATATTTTTTGGAATATGCGGAGACGTGCAGACAGGTCATTGTTGGCGTTGTCTATATTTCAGTGCAAACGAGAGTTGATATTTATAAGTGATGTATAACTGATGAGTTACCAGAAATGTATGGCTCTTATTTCGTCTCTATTTCTGGTTATATTCTCGATGTCCCGGAGTGACTTCCGTTGTTCTGGTACTCATTGTACAGGGAATCTCTAGTTTGAGACCAGGTAATTGATGTGGTTGTCTGGCATATTATTATTATAGACTTCGGCCATTTTTTCCCCCTGAAAACATTTCATAAGTCATCTTTTCCGTTTACTTAAATATATATATTAATAACATACAATTTTCCATGCGTTTTGGTCGTCCTACCGCAAAACCTATTCTTATAATACGCTCATGTTTACTACTAATGATAAAAGTATAATTTAACCACGTTCGTATCATTCTTTCGTCTTTTTGAAGGATCTGGTGGAAAATCAAAGAACGAAAGGTTCATGGTAGTAGACCAAGAGGGCAATTTTCTCCTAAGAGGGTACAACGAGGCTAAAGACGCCAAGAAAGCTAGAGAGGATAAAAACGAGTATAAAAAAAACTTTGGACCTAAAGGTAAGAAAGTATTTATTATAATTTTAATACAATGATCGAACACTAAGAGAATATTCTTTCGATCCGGCTGGATTCGAACCAGCGCCTTCAACATTCCGCGCCTAGCGCTCTCCCAATTGAACTACGGAACAAATCAACAAGCCTTACGAATTTTTCTATGTGCTTTTTGCAGATCTTTGGTTATTAACGACTTTTTTGCCGTTACGCCGTCTATGAAAGTTTTTCTTTAACCAACTAACTTCATAGATATTTAAATAAATTATTCTCACAGTTTTCCAAACTGCCATCGTACTTGTTATTAAAGTTGATTGTAGGTGAGTTCAATCGAGCGTGTAGATTTGTTGATAGTATATCAACCTGGCTCAATCCATGTTAGGGAGGTATCATGTCAACAAATTTTATCTCAATGTCTCACTCACTTATTACCCAAATGATAGGCTCAATACCATAGTATAATGAGACAAGTAGTGTAACTCTATACAAACGTAGCAGCGCAGTTTATATGTGTGTCCAAGGTGTAATCTCGAATCACAGCGCGAGTCGCACGAGTAAAGGCACTATCTTTAGCGGCCTTAGAAAACGATGTTTGTTTTACATAATTTAATAAGATTTGGAACCTTGTGTGATTTATTATTAATTGCAGAGTAGCGACCAGATATACAGGGTTATTTGTAAAACACTAACAACCTCGCAGGACTAACATCATAAACAACAACTTTTGTTCCATGACTTTTTACAATTCGTCAGATTTTACTTTCAGACTAAAATAAAAATGATTAAATAGATCGCTCCAAACGGTGATAACTCTGTACAATACGCGGTTATCGTAGGATGAGGACACTTGCATTTTTTTTTTTTGATCTTTACCTTACTACCAAATACAGATCTAAAAAGTGTCAGATAGTGCAAAAAAACTTAAAAGTTTATTTTTCGTATATTTTATCTGTCTTTTGTCAAAAGTCAAGGAACAAAAGTTGTTCTTCATTATGTAAGTAAAAGTAATCTACTCCTGAAAGGTTGTTAGTATTTAAAAATAACCACATAACATAGTTTTAGAATATTGAAATTGTTTAATGATACTTCAGCTATGCATCGTTAGGTTCGGTTCCGATAAGTCGAACACGTAAACTAATTTTAACTGTTTTTAAAAGACAATTTTATGCTCTAATTTTTTCTATTAAAAACGGATATTGTCACTTAGTTTTAGTTAGTGGACGGCAGTTTAATTAGTATTTACACCTCACGGTATTGGTGATCTGGGTTCTTCTTGTACCGACATCAGACCACAATAAGCCAGCTCCCGTGAGACTGCCTCTTGTTTTTCCTTAAGTCACGTGCTTTCCACTAAAGAATTGAAGCGTTCGTTCAGTGTTCAAAATATTACACGTGTTTTTTGTGTTGATGGTTATTCGAACAAGAGTGCCTCAAATCAGAATTGTTCAACATTACATTCTATTTCATAATCATAAACACGAATCAGGGAATACAATACGCGATACTGGTATAAAAATATTAACATGTGAGTACTGCATTTGACACAGGTTATTTCAATATAACATGAGAATGCTGTATTGAATAACTTAATTATTTCAAAAAATAATAATATGAAAACCCTACGCTCCGAGCGTGAATGAAGAAGCCTCATTATGTCTCATGTCTTATCGTCTTGTTGCATTTATATTACACCATGATGATAAAAGCCCCAATGTGGGAATCGAACCCAAGACCTCATTTATATGAGGCAAACGCTTTTCCAACTACACTATTACTGCTCCCATAATTAATGCGGAAATATTCAAATTTATTGTATCAAGGTGGCAACAAGCAGTTCAACAACCCGAAGGCCGAGCAGACGATGTGGGTGGCGTTCATAGACCACCTGCGCCTGCACGATAAACTGCCTGTCGTCGCGTTCACGCTCTCCCGGAACAGGTAGACGCTTTACAAAACAATCTAAGATATCTTTAGCCATCATCAGTGGCGCGAAGTATTCCATCCAAACAAAATACTAGAAAAATCGATTAATAAATGAATTGGTACCTGAGGTGGGTGCGTGGTGCGGGAGGAGTGACAGTTTACGTCACAGTTATGTCGCGCTGCACACGGGATAATAACAAGTTAATTGGGAGTGTGTAAAAAAACTATATTTTTTATCTTATTTGCTGTGTGTTATGGACATGATACATTAAATATAGTCAAAGCAATGAAGTAATAAATAATGCATTTGGTCGAGAATATTTTTTGTATGTTATCAACTGACGGGACGGACCAATTGAACATGCCTTTTTTGGCGTTTCAGTAATCTGATAAATCTCTACTTTCTCGTGGTAATTTTTAGAAAAGTGTCGCTTATAGGCTTTCAAATTTCCTTCGGTTTGTTCCTGATATGTCGCTTTAGAGTTTTTAACTACACTGACGATATGACGATATTAAATCTTTTAGACCAAGTTTAGATTAACTGATGTAATTCATCTTACGTGTAATCTGCGCCAATGTTAATCATTCACTGTTTTACATTGTTACTTTTCTTATTTCGCAGTTTTTGTCACTTTGAAATCTATATTTTTTTGTAAGGGCGACCTTAGAAAAAATTCCATCTCGTGTCATTTTTTTTATGATACCAAGTGACAGACAGGCGGACAAGTCATGCGCCTGGTGGTAAGCGACACGCCTGTCTATAGCAGTTGCAGTACCAGAGTACTTTTTTATAAGTGGATAAGTCCCATGTATCTGTAATTTCACCAGCACCCTTACCCTTCAAAACCGGAACACTGTAAGTCACACATAACCGCTTGGCGACATAAATAAGTAAGGCGGCAATACTTTCCTGGACGATCTCTTTTACAAGGAGCTCTGTACACTACTACCTTAGAATATAAATTCTTATTTGAATTTTTTAATTGTTTACTTGACATGTAATAAAAATTATGAATAAATGACTATGTGTACGATTATACAGACAATGTACTTCCGATGCGGGTTGGCGAAAGCACTGCTAGGCGGATTTTCAACACTGAAGCATTTTGATTAATATTTACGGGAAATATGATGATTTCAGATGCGACCAAAACGCCGAAAACTTAATGTCAGTGGATTTGACCACTGCTAAAGAGAAGAGTCACATCAAATCCTTCTTCCAAAGATGTCTGCAGCGCCTGAAGGAGCCCGATAGGAAATTGCCTCAGGTTACATATAATTATCTAAGTCACATTTGTTATTGATTCAAAGATCGAAAAACACAAAGAAACGCAACACAAAGATCTGTAGTAAACACACAGAGAAGTTTGTAAAATCTGCTGACACAAAACTGAGCTACAGAAGCTCAGTTTTTAAGACCGGTGGCGCCGACATGGCAGCAGACGCTCGTTATTGTCCAGTCACTTCGAGGGAATTTTTCTTTGTGTTGTTCAACCTTTGTATCAATAATTATTACAAAGTAATGAATTATTTTCACAAAAAAAGTCTGAATACTACGATTATACGATACGATAATAGTACCACGATTGGTACTAAAATATACTTACTTTAATAGTGAAAGAATGCGTCGAGATGAAATATAATTAACTATGTAAAACACAACGGTAACTCATTTTACAACAAACATGGAATAATTTTAGTAGCAGTAGAGCTCCTTGTGAAAGAGTTCGCCGAGGGACGTACTGCCACCATACCTATTTCTGCCAACAACCACTAATGTGAGCATTACTGTGTTCCCGTTTTGAAGGGTAAGGGTGCTGGTGAAATTGCAGGCACATAGGACTTGTCAACTTATGTCTGAGGGTGACGGGCGAAGTGGCAGTGTCCCTCAAATCTTTGTGATTTAAAGCTCTGAGCGGCACTGCAACTATTATGGACAAGCGTGTCGCTTACCACCAGGTGCACGACTTATTCGTCCCGTCACCTGGTGTCATGAAAAATAATATTTTTGACACGTATATTATAACAGCTGTTTATACTTATATAAATAATTATTTATTTCAGGTTGTAAGATTGCGGAGAGTATTGGAAAACGGTATCGGAGTCCACCACAGCGGAATCTTACCGCTTCTTAAGGAAATAGTTGAAATGCTTTTCCAGACTGGATTTGTAAGAATCAATAATATTTAGTATATTTTATATATTCATAACTTTATTTATTTATTTAATTAATTGCATCATGGATAACACAGAGAAATGTACCTCGGACAAACACCAACCCCGTTAGGGTGTTGCAATATTTAGGTTTGCATTTACTTACCTAATTAAAAAAAATAGAAATATAACGAAACATGTATTAGTTATATTTAGTAATTTAGAAAAATTACTAAATATAACTTATTAATTGTAGAATCACAGTTTGTATGGAAAGTTGTAACAAAATAAGTATAATTCCACCACCGCTCTACCAACTGATGTCCCTAGTTTGGCATACAGGCGAAAGTTAGAGTCCTGTCACATCAAAGGAATTTTTCTTTGTGTTTGATCTTGGTATTAATAATTATAGCAAAATAATAGAGTAAGTTTACAAAAGATAATATCCATGGTAATAAAATATGATGATACGTATTTTACTACGGCCAAACATTCCGAGTACAAACATATTTTAAGCATTTTTTGTATTTACTAACAATAAGTACAAAACGTGGAATATCTCCGATTTCTGTGATTATTTTCGAACAATTGGATATTAGTATTTATTTTATTGAACATCATGATGTTTTTACTACCATTAAATTCATATATTCATTCTGTAGCTCAGTTAGTAAGAGCGGTAGCCGCGATGAGGCAACAGACGCTAGTTCTTTGTGTTTGTTCGAACTTTGTATCAATAACAATAGCAATTAGAGTCGGATCGAAAGTAAATATAGTTTTTATTCTCAAAGGTAAAAATCTTATTTGCAACGGAAACTTTTGCAATGGGTGTAAACATGCCAGCGCGAACAGTAGTTTTCGACGAGGTCACCAAATATGACGGACTGCAGCGCAGGACACTTGCTCCGGCGGAATACATTCAAATGGCGGGCCGAGCTGGCAGAAGAGGTAAGGCCCTTTAGGGCGCGTTCCCATTGTGTAGTAACATTTTATTTATCGTTGGACGACTATCGCGCTAGTCTGTTCCCCATATCACGACTATCTGTCTTGACAGTGTCGTGGACGTTTATTTTATCGTTGAACGACTTGTGTCTAGCTGTTCCCATTAGATCGTGACGACAATTTATCGACTCCCGGCAGCCGCCTTATCGTTTGCACGACAGAATCGTTTGAAGCTGCGATTATCTGTCGTCATATTTTTGTCGTGACGTCTTAATTATCGTCAGACGACTGTCGTTCTAGCTCTTCCCATAGTTACGACAGTCTGTCGTCGTAACGTCAAAAAAGTCGTGAACGACAGTTAGTCGTGTTGTTCTACTGTGTGAACCAATTTCATTTAAATATAGAAGCCACGACACTTAAAACTTCACGACTATCCGTCGTCACGACATAATGGGAACGCGCCTTTAGAGGACGACGAATAAAATTTTCACTCTCAGTGACGTCAGTGCTACGGGGTTATACGTATTATACGTATTAATGATACACCTTATTCAACATTATAGGTCTGGACGACACGGGCACTGTGATAATCCTGTGCAAGGACGGTGTACCGGACTTAGTAACATTGAAGGGCATGATGATGGGTATCCCACAAAAACTGTCTTCGCAGTTCCGCCTCACTTACGCCATGATACTTAGCTTATTGCGGTAAGTCTTTTTTTTTATTTTTAACTCGTGACGCATCCTAGTCGACACACGTTCTCTCTGACGATTGTGGGACACTGACTGTATTTCAACTGTATGAATTTTTTAGTATGTATGTTACGTAACTTACCGTAACGTATTTGTGAACCGATTTTGATGATTATTTTTTGTTTGAAAGAAGGAACCTCGGTAGTGGTACTTTGAAGAAAATATTCCACCGCTAAGGGTGGCAAACTAGGGGATGAATCCTGTTTCGCGTACTTTCCGGTAACCGATTTCAATAAATTTTGGCAAATAGATGTAATTCCCCGAACTTTTGAGGTCGGTTTTTTTAGTACTCTGTACTGAGATTATTTAAGTATTCTAGAAAGTTATTCTTATATAAAAATATTTCAAACTTTCTTGTCAGGTTTTACGTTCCTTTGTTGCTCTCCCCTAAAATTGTATAATTAATTTAAACGTAGTGGTGCTCGTAACATATCGATAAAACGTCAACAATAATATTAAATTTATTTCTACAGAGTAGCAACAGTGTCAGTAGAAGGAATGATGCAACGCTCCTTCCGCGAATTTAATCAAATAATCCAAGCGGACAATTATCGCAAACAGCTGCAGCTGGCTGAAAAAGAATACACAGAGAAATGTAGTACACCGCTTACTGCCCACTTGGCACCATTAGCAAAGTTCTATGACACGGCAGCGGCGTATATCGATGTATTGAATGATATAATGCCGATTCTTCTCAGTCAACCTAAAGTGGTGAAGGAATTTGTGCCCGGAAAGATACTTGTCCTGTCCGCAGGGCCGTATATTAATCAGTTGGGCATTTTTTTGAATAGTAGTGGTATGTACGCTTTGTTAATAAGACACACTATTTTTTTTTTCTTAGAGTGGTTACACACGTGTCCGTCAGGATTGCTGGACCAAACGAGATATAAGCGCATGAAAAAGTATTATTGGCAATTAATTACACGGAGAAGATAAACTATCTTTTTAGAAGATAACTTTTGCAGAGGCGGTTTATAATTATTATTACTTTTTATAGCTTCCTAAAACAGTGAAAAGACAAATTAGGTAGTAAACAGTTATATAAAGAAAGTAAATTTTATATTGCTAGAACTATGAAAAACGTAAAGTGGTCAGCCAATCTGACGTCAGAATGGCTGACCACTATTTCTTTAATATTTCCGTTAACGCTAAGGTAGAAAATATGTCCAAAAGGTACTAAATAGTAGAAAATAGGTAGTAGATAATGAGCACAGTTTGATTAGTATATCTCGTTTGGTCCAACCGTCCTCACGGACGCGTTAGACACTGCGACTTTTAGCAGGGATGCTAAAGCTCGTTCGTGAAATGCGCGATTGCATCGCTACACTACTACGATTTATAGGCGATTACATCGATGCAAACGCACGACTGCATCGATACAAACGCGTTTGTATAAAACGCGTAAAATCTCTCGTGTGTGTAACGGTAGACGATCAGCGACTACAGCGCGTTTGCACCGCTGCTAAAAGCCGCCGTGTGTAGCCTCTTAAATGTTTAAAAATTTGGTGTAAACTACACAACGAAAGAACATTTTTTTAACGTTTCAAACGTTGTCGACGACGTGTTCCGTTTAACTTTATAAGCGGTAATATATATCATACATCATAAGTGGTAGCCTATAGTTTGACCTATCTCCTCGTAAGCAGAGGCGGTGAGTTCGAATCCGGACTCGCACCTCGTGAGTTTCGCGGGAATGCGAAATTTAATTTGAAATTTATCATGATCTTTTCGGTGAAAGAAAACATTGGGATGAAACCTGCACGTCGTAAAAGGTTCACAACCCTCGGAAAACGTGTAAAATCCGGACGGACTATGGCCTAAACCCTCGCCTGAGGTGACCCGTGCCTAACAGTGGAACGCATAAATGTGTTGATGATGAAAATAACTGATTTTCTATATAAAGTACACAGGGTGTTTATGTGATCATAGGAGGATCATAGAATCATTTGGTCGAGCATTACTAATTTGACAGTAATTGTTTCGTACGGTAGTCGGACGGAGAAAGGGAGTAAACCCCCTGACTCAATTCAGAATATATTACATACATTTTGATGTACACGGGGCCTTAGGAGCACAACTTAAGAAATTTTTGCCATTTAGGACCCCGCCAAACTCCATACAAAGTGTTGTTGCTAAACACAGCAGTGCAAGACACGACGCGGTACAACTTCGACATTGACGACAACTGGTACAGAATGCTCAGCTTTTCTGCACTTTACGATTGCATCGGTAAGTAGTAGAGAGGCAATTATTTTTTAAATACTGATAAGTTACATTCAGTTAGGGCATTTTAAAGAACTATTTTTGTCACCTGTACTCCGTAAAATTCAGCTTGAATAATAAGTCTATAAAAAAGGCAAACTAAATTTTTACCGGCGTCCTACAAATTATATAATAATATTAATCTTTATTTCTCTCTTTACAAAGTTACCTTATAAATAAAAGTTGTTTATATTATGGACTTATCATTAATATACCTTTGTAAGAGGCTGGAGTCAGTACTAGGATTGAACCTGTGTAACGGATATTATTTATATATTAAACACGATAAAACAATACAAATTGTACATTGCCGTTCATTATCATACGATAATCGACATCAACAAATCATTAATAAGTCACTTTTGTAATTAACTCATACTAAAATATTATTAATGTTTATTTTCATGTCGGCACTTCACAAGGCTACTTGTATTCTTTTTTTTTTATTTATCAAGTGACGGGACGAACAAGTCGTGCTCCTGCTGGTAAGCTACACGCTTGTCCATAACAGTTGCAATGCCACTCAGAGCTTTAAATCCCAAAGATCTGAGGGGCACTGACACTGCGCCCGTCACCCTGAGACAAGTTGTCAAGTCCCATGTGCCTGTAATTTCAACAGCACCCTTAAACTTCAAAACCGGAAGACAGTAATGCTGATGTGGCAGTACTTCCTTGAACCAACTCTTTCACAAGGATCTCTGCTGCTACTTGTATTCGCTATTGGGTATTTATTATACTTGGAACAATATTTGACGTGCAGATAAACATGCAGACAATGTCAAATATGACGTTCTACACATGGAGCCAAGTAAGGAGTTAAAATAATGATTATGACCATAGTGTGGACGGTTCACTTGCGTATTTGCCTAATGACACCTTGGGTGTGTGTCGAGAAACCAACAAGCGCGTTTTTGTTATTTGCTGTATTTGTCGAATAGGCAAACAAGGCAAATACTTTGTCACACATGCTATCTACATATCGCTTCCTCCTACGTAAAATATCGTATGTCGAAATTACCAAGTTAACAGGGCAGCGTCTTTCTCCGTTTTATTCGGCAAAGCTCGTTACTCACTAGAGTGATAATCTAATAGATCATCTAACCGATATCTAGGATTTTATAATACTCTATGTGAGTAACGAGCTTTGATGAATAAAACTGAGAAATGCTAAAGTCACGTGTTATGCTTATTTCAGTGAATTCAGAACTTTAAAAGGTTCCCCTGTAAACTTGGCAATTTCGACATACGATACTTTACGTAGGAGAGGTCGATATGTGTGATTGTTTCCCATATATATGAAATACGCAAATACAAATAGCCATGTGAAGTACCGCCAAGTCAAGAAATAATTTGACGGTATTTTTAAATGTTTCCTAATTTTTGTAAATTACTCGTGTTGTTTTGAGTTACGGTGTGTCATTTTGGATTAAATTGTGTGTTTTTTAGTAAATTTTTATCCAATATTATATTCAAAATAACAATATTCTACAGTACTGCGTCATTATATAATGGCAGCTATTTGTTGTCTATAATTTATATTAATAATAATAATAATAATAATAATAGATAATGTGTCAGACAACCACACAAATTACCTTGTCTCAAACTCGAAAATTCCCTGTATTATGAGTACCAGAGCAACGGAATTAACCACCCGAAACACCCATACCAGAACCAATATAGGAACCTCGTTTCCGACTTTGGTGCTCCCGGGAATCGAACCCGAAACCTCCTGATACAGCGCTCACAATGCAAAAAATGCGTTGAGAATACTATTTAACCTTTTCGATTAAAGGTAACGCCCAATATATTCGAAGATAATAAAACCATTAATGGTAATGGTAATAAATAATAATTTCTAATGTCTTTAGGTACTGAGGAGAGCACGTTAGATCACACGATTTTATGCATCGCACAGAAGAACGTGATCGCTGTAACCAAAACCACTCTCAAGATCGATGATAAAGCTATCATTCAGGATTGGGAGAGGAGGCAAATACCACGGTGTGACAATTGTCGTATATGTAGTATAAGCATAGTATTACAGTCTTCCTTACAGTAGCCCAACTACTTTAAATTTCGGCGGTACCGCCCTCTTGTAGGTAATTATGCTGTCATACGCTGATATGTGTGATAATAATAATAATAATAACGCACACACTCAACATAGCCCCGCACTAGGGAAACTCTATGTCGCGGTTGCCATTGTCACACACATAGACAACCATAAATTACACCTAAACTCACGAGAGAAATAAATGTAGGCCATACAAATGTTTCTTCCGGCCCGACAATCGAACCTGGGAACTCTGCGTGTAGTCCAGGATGGTAACCGTTCAGCCACGGCAGTTTCAGTGATATGATGAATGAATGATATAATATTTTAAATTACAGAATAGAATAGACATATTTATTGCAACGCCACAACACATAGATACAAAAAAATTGACAACACTTAGACAAACAAAATAAACATAAAAAGACGTGATAAAGAAGTGATAAGAAATGATAATCCCACAGACTAGGCGTATTTATTTGATTTCTACGCGTGTATATTAGTAGCAACTGCACGGTTTTACACCACTTTTTTGTGTTTGTGTTTGTAAAACTGTGCTTTAATTGAGGCTATCAGCGCGAAAGCGGTGTAACCAACAATTTTTTTACAATATTACTTTGAATACTACTAAAGACCATAATTATTATATATTTAGATGCTATTTTCATATATAAAAAAAATATTAAATTCGTTTTATACGTGAAAATAGCATCCAAATATAAAATATTTGTGTATCATTTAAAGTAATATTGTAGAAACAAAATTAAACGTGGGCTGCACCAATTTTGCGCTAATAGCCACAATTATAATATCCGTCGTTGTTTAAACGGACTGGAGGGGCCAGGACTTAACTCGTGAAGGCACCTGCACTTCCAGCAATTGAGTTTAATATAATGTCCATGGTTTTCTTATGTCTCACTACCATGTATACAGTTTTTGGTTGTGAATATAAGTTTAAGCGGATTTTAAGATTATTGAATGAGCCTTTTATAAATTCATTTTGAGTATACACTTGTACACTCAAGTTTTTGAATTCGGACGACAGTTGAGAGTGAGAGGGAGGATAGTGTTGCCAAAATATCATGTTATATGCGTTTTGTGTGCAATGAGAATAATACTTAAAATAAATGTTATTATTCAAGAAATGTAACAAATAAATATAGATGCAACTGAAATGATACAACGCAGCCACGGCCTTTTTTGGGTTTAGCGGGTTTTGGCTCGCTCCGATTTGCCCAGACATTTGTATACCTTACTTCTAAAGTTAAAATATATTAGGTCGAGCAATTAGGATAGACAGGATCACAACGATGCAGCTTGCTACCAATGTATATCTTTCCATAAATACTGGTAGTTTCTCTGCCTGTGCAGAAACAACTTAGACAAATACCACCCGACCGAAGGCATCGAACAAAAGTTGTTATAATATATGCCATAGGCTTATCCATCTATTTTGTATTTTAGATTCAAAGACTCCCCGGTATCAGCACACTGTGCAAGCACAGTGCAAGAGCTGTCTCGATTGTCGCACGCGGTAAGGACCGGGGCGACGACCCTGGAATATGTCAGTTTGACGCAGTCGCTCGCCGTCTCCACGGGGGAGATACTGCAGTCACTGGACAACATGACTTTTCTTAAGGTGAGATAACTAGAAGAATAAAGAAGGATGGCGAAAGCTAACCCAAAATCATCGAAGTGCTGTTCATGGACTTTGCTAGTATAATTTTACGTATTAGTTTATGCCTAGTTATTAATATATTTTTGTATATTTTTAGAAGTCGGGAATATAGAAATTACAAAACAATGTATTTTAGAATAGATGCAAGAACACAACGCAATTGATTCTGTTCGACCATAGATTAGGTAAAATTCTTGTACGTACGTTTCATTTTAAGCATGATTGAATGTTTACCTACCTAAAATATTGATTATTTTCTAATACACACATTAAACGTTAAAGCTATAAAATACCTAATGAAATAGTCAATTAAACAATAATGACAAAGTAAAAAATAAAAACAATATGACGAAAATGTTTAGACAATATTTAAATGAGAGATACGAAAGTTAGCAAAGGAACGTTTTGACAAGAGAACAGTGTGACCATTTGTGGCAGATTTCTGCCATTTGGGCTGATTTAATTTTTATTCATTTTCATTACGACAGAACATGTTAACGTTGTATTAAATGTGGCAGAGTTTGGTAGATTTATTTTTATTTATTTATTTATTTATATTTATTTATTATCATCAAACGGAATAAAGAGAGGAGTTTGTTTCGTTTTCCGAGAAATTACACGAAGTAAGTAAAAAAAACTTATGTCTGAGACTCGTTCAGTTGTTATTTTCTTCATTTTTTTTTGTGAAGGGTAATATATAGTACAGATTTATTATATCAAAATAATGAGACGCCATAAGTTAATGGGCTTGTAGACAAGGGTTCTCGAACTTTCAATTTGTATTGCCGATCAATATTGTGTAGTGAATATACCTAATTCTTAACTAGGTAATGATAAACTTGGACACGCAATGTCAAATACCTTAGTTACCTTATTTAAAAGTACGGACAACAGCACATCAGACTACACATTTTTGTTTGAAAATCTCCTCCAGTGATACGTCAATGTGTAGCTTGATGTGCTGTTGACTGTACCTGTCCAAAATATAACATTTTAACATTGACCTACCAATAAATGGACGTCGGGTTTGCGCTAAGAAGTGTCCGCACCTGTAGTGCGTTAAAATCACATACAGAGCGTCAATCGCGCAAAACTCTTCGTTTGTTCGACTGACAGCGCGGTTGTCAATCACGCAGTACTAATAATAATAATACCTTGTAAAAATTACTGCAGTAAAGTGTAAAAACAGAATTTTGTATCATATTTTCACTAAACAAATATATTGTGTTAGAATAGTTCTCATTTAAAAGTGTTATTTTGTTCAGTTTTATAGTATTTAATTTATTTATAAATGACTCGTAAATATAAATGACAAAAGCACACAAAATAATCAAATAGTTAACTGTCCTTTTTCTACACAATGCATGCGCAAAAGATGGAAAGCGACCCATTACGTCAGTTTCAAGAAGCTTATATAAACTTGGTCATTTTCGATTGTTCGAACCACAAGCGATTGAACGTGCAGTTAACTGCATAAACGTGCAGTTAGGGCAATTTACAATCTGGGCCCCAAAGTATCTTTGAGAGATAAGTTTAAGGAAATTAACTTTCTGGGGAATCTGCCTTACGAATGAGCGGTAGAGTTTAACCATTGTGACGATTTCAAGTGTAATAATGCTTACCTATGAAATAAAGATTATTTTGAATTTGAAATTGAAATATTTAGAACAAAGAAACTATATAGAATCGCTTTGATTTTAATCTTATTTTTAAAATGATTTTTTTATTAAACGCTAGCAATAACTCACACAATATTGTTGTACTCATTTTACGGCTTGGGATTACCTATCAGAAATCAGAAAATACATTTGCCCGAAATAACATTAGCTCGAATTTTCATAATGTCAAATGGATTTTTTTAGGAAGATTACAAGACAAAAGCTAATTTTGGCTTTGTGAAAAAGATTAAAATTACTCGAAAGCGTAACGGTTTTATTATAAATCAGTTTTCGGAATGACGGATATTTTAGATTACGTTTAGTTGGATTATCGGTACATTTCTTATAGTACACGCTTATTTTTACATTTGTAGTAATATTTGTATGTATGCATCTGCCCAACTCTTTATTATAATCCTTAAGTAAATTTGTACAAAATTCGACATAATAATATATATAAAAATTAACTAATATTTACGAGAAAGGATACTCCGTTACTCTTGTGTTCAAGTAATTTTCAGTCGAAGCTAAATATGGTTTCTAGTAGAAGCTGAATATGGCGTTTTTGAGCCCTTAAATTGTTGCAAGCACAATTAGCAGTACTGCAATGACGCTACAATTAAAATTAAATGTTTTAGTTTTTTACATTTCGTTACATGTCACTACGTTTGTATAGGTTAACTTCGGACATTTTTTTCGTGGTTTTTGTATTAGACCCGATGTCCATTTATTGGTAGGTCAATGCATTTTAAGTACTTTTAATATATTTTTTAAATAAATCTGTAATTTTATTCTATTTTAGTTAGTGAATTAATGAAAAATATAATATATCGATATAAATGCCTAATGAACATGTGTAATTATTAGGATTTTATTAATAGAATTATAGATAACAGATTCGCGTTAGAATTTTCGCTATGTTGCCGCTCTGACCACGTAACGTAATAATAGTACGAGAAAGTAATGGGTAACCCTGCCACTTCACGCACACATTTTCGCGTGTGCAGACAGCGCCTTGCTGTATGTAGTAGTAGTAGGTAAATAATTTTCGAACGTTGTGTGGAGTGTCCGGGGTGTAACCCGACTACGCCACCTTGTACCGCGGTTAGCAGTCCTCGTCAATTATTGGTCCATGTCTATGTGAAGGAGGGCAATGTGATATATTTTTCAAATGCCTCATTTTTTCATCAGTTGTATTCAATCGCACAATCATTATTGTTTCAGAGTGAACTAGAAACCCAAAAAAAAAGCACCGACATAGCTAACTTCAAATCGGAATTCGCAATCGTCTACGAACGGAAGCAAGCTGAGCGTAAACGCGACAAATATAAACGTCTGCTCTCATACGAAAATTTAGCTCTCTACCCAGACTACCAAAGAAGGCTTATGGTCCTTCGAGAATTAAACTACATCGATGAACATGACAGCGTGATCTTAAAAGGAAGAGTTGCATGTGGAATGGGGACTAATGAGCTAATAATATCTGAATTAGTATTCAGGAATGTGTTCACGGATAAGAATCCAGCAGAAATTGCAGCGTTGCTCAGTTGTTTCGTGTTCCAAGCGAGAACGCAGGTGGAACAGCAGTTGACTGAGAAGTTGGCCGAGGGTGTGAAAGCTATTGAACAGATTGATGCTGAGCTGTCGAACATTGAATCGAAATATTTGGTAAGAAAACGTAGCACGGACGTCAATTGTAGCCATGGAGTATATAAAATCTGAAATAGAGACGAAAAGTCACTTAATATGTTCTGCAAAATCATTACTCTCACAACTGCGCTCCGATTGGCCAGCCCGAATTCGAAACAATTGACGTGTGTTGTCAATTGTTTCACTTTAAATCGAGCAGTAATTTTTTATATAATATTACCCCACAGACCTACCGCTTAACTGAATCGGTTCCTGAGGTAGTTTTTGAGACAGTTTACGTCACAATTATGTCGCGCTGCACACAGGATAATTTCAACAAGTTTTTATGACGATATTCAATAGCAAATTGATTGAAAAAAGGATTACCTTATTGAGTATATATAACACTTAGGCTTACGCGCATGCTCGAAAATGCTCGCGTATTTCGCGGAAGATTTTGGTTCGTGTCTAGTTTATACGTTACACAATTGACCATAAAGTTCATTATGCTATGTACAACATCGTTACAAAAATAGTGAAAGAATGCGTCGTGATGAAGCATGATTATCTATGTAAAACATACAACGGCATCTCATTTTACAACAAACGTGGAATAATTTTAGTAGCAGTAGAGCTCCTTGTGAAAGAGTTCGTCCATGGAAGTGCTGCCACCTTACCTATTTCTGCCGCCAAGCAGTAATGTCAGCATTACTGCATTCCGGTTTTGAAGGGTAGGGGTGGTGGTGAAATTACAGACACATGGGACTTGTCAACTTATATCTCAGGATGACGGGCGCAGTGGCAGTGCCCTGCAGATCTTTCTCAATTATATTCAAAGCTCTGAGTTGCACTGCAACTGTTATGGACAGGCGTGTAGCGTACCATCCGGCACACGACTTGTTCGTCCCGTCATTTGAAATTATAAAAAAAAAATAATAAAAAAAAATTAAATTAATAAAATTATAGTTATTTGACTAGCTAATATAATCTTGTAGCTATTGGTTTCCAAGACAAATTAAATGTAATGTGGTATATGACCGTTCTAGGTAGGCCAATTCGAAGGGCAACAAGAAAGGCTGAACTTCGGTTTGGTGCGTGTCGTGTACGAATGGGCGCTGGAGAAACCCTTCGCTGAAATCATGGACCTCACCGATGTGCAGGAGGGTATCATAGTGCGGTGCATACAACAGTTGCATGAAGTAAGTATAACTTGAGACATGAGCTTCCTCTAAGCAGAGTATGTAGGATCCTCTACACTGACCTAATGCTAATTGAGGTCTTACTCCGAGAACCTTAGTTTCTTTATATGATTTTAATATGTCCAGAGGTACATACTTGTGCTGGCTACAAAGCTCCGGTTCTACCAGTTAATAAAAATGAAAGTAAATATATTTTTCACTTCTCATGCCCGAAAAGTACGTCAATATAGCCTTAGGTAGCGGGAGTAAAGTGCATCCTTTAATCCCTATGGAATAAAAAGTGCCTAATTTTTTACTTTACTTTGTGTGAACAAACTCAAACAGCCGTCGTAATACGTTCCGTTTTAGATCCGTACCTTTTCCGCATAGACGGTGGCGCCATATGTTTTCCCGCGTTAGTGCGTTTGTTGTATCTGTGTCTGGTTGGAAAAAAATACTTTTCACTGTATTTTTTTCAGAATTTTGCTTCGTAATTTTGATGTAAAGCGAAAACGATTAATTTTTTTTTCTCGAAATACTTCCATAGATTTCTCATAGATGGCGCTACGTCTAAAAAGGCGTTGAAAACCAAGTACAAAGTTCCGACAAACAAGCACATAGATTATATGATAGATTATATATATAAATTCGTGAGGTCCGCTGGTTCGTTCCGTGACTTAATTGGCATAGCGTCTGGTGTCACGGTTTGCTAGTAGACGTCGGTTCGAATCCGGCCGGATCGAAGGAATTTTTTCTAAGTGTTAAATCTTTGTGTTAACAATTATAACAAAATTAGTGGAGTAATTTCACAAAAAATAATTAAATATCATGGTGGTGAAACATCCTAACATTCAATAAAACATTTAATCGAAGTGAAAAGGTTTCACTTCGAGACTAAAAACCAGTATAAAACCTCGGAGTAAGTAATAGACACCCTCGCTAAAACTCGGGTGTATATTGGCTTGTTTTAGTCCCTCGATAAATAATATACTTTTAGGATGGCAATAGTGAGGGCATAATATAATAAATATGACCAACCGTTCTGAGCTTATTTTTCGACCGAGCATCGAACAAGGAGAACTCCTGAGTATGCCTCGTAGAGAGGCGAAGCAAGTGTCTGGTAAACAACTGTAGGTGCGCTTTTGTTACTTATTTTATTAGTTTTATGCGGAGAGAGGGAGGGTGGGAAAATTACGTGCATAAAAAAATATTCAACACAAGCGCAGCTGTTTTGCACGATTTAACCTTTAGTGGGTCCACCGAGTAGCAAATTAATTTGCTTCCATTTTTATTAACTTGGATTTCCGTAAAGTAACACCTGATTATTAAATTACTACCATTTCAGAAGAACAGTTACACAGTCTGCAGCAATGCAGTCGCGATGCTGTCGCTAATAGTCTACTTTTAGACACAAGCGCGACTTAAGCAGCGATACAATCACGTGGCAAACACGATGCAATCGCGATTTAAAGATGCACTTTTAAAAAAATTTAACATAAATGAAGGCATTGATGCAAACGCGCGTTTGCATCGATGCAACCGCCTCTAAATCGCAAGTGTCGCGATGCAATCGCGCGTTTGTATCGTTCTTAAAAGTCGCCATGTGTAAGCGTTCTTAATCCGTCATAAATTTCTTGAAAAAGAAAATTAAATTGTATTTTTCCCCACAGCTGCTAATCGACGTAAAAGACGCAGCCGTAGCGATCGGAGACCCAAAGCTGCAAGCTAAAATGATGGAAGCCTCTACGGCCATTAAACGAGACATCGTATTCGCTGCCAGCCTTTACACCACGCAAAGAGAGACCGTCATTCTTTGATGGTCGCTCTATAAAATAAAAAGATGTATTTTTATTATAACTTATAACAGAGTTTTGCCATGCTGTGGAATTTTAGAGAACCAGTTTATTCTACTAGCATCACAATCAGTCAATATTGTTAAGTGGCGCCATCGAGTAATCGAGTATATAACCAGAAATAGAGACGAAATGTCATTTATTTTGTTAGAAAACTATTCTGCCAAATGACAACTGGTGACGACAGCGCTCCGATTGGCCACCCTGAATTCGAAATATACATTAGAGTTGGGCAAAGCAAACATCATATTATCGGAATCGATAGTCAAAATAATATATCATCGCCTTACTTTCTCAAACTCGTACCTTATAAAGAGTGATTATTCAGGAGATGCCAAAACATACTATTTATTTTAAATTTCTTATCAATGGTGTTAATTTGGATGCATTACTTTAAGAATAGGTAACAGCCAGTGTGTGAATATGAAGGTGAGGTGAAATCAGCCTGCAAATTTGCATGTACAATTCACTTTTTTCGTTTCAGTTACTTTGTGCTTTAAGATGCGAGTTTGAGGAAGTAAGCCGTCGATATATGGCATTATAAATAACCATTGCCTGCTTTTTACAAGACTAACCAAACAAAGGAGCGTAATGTTTTCATGGTGAATATATTTAAGGAAATATCGTTTATTGATTCCTCTGTAACTTCAGAATGTTTTAACCGATTTCGAATTGTGTAATATTGTTAGAATCCATAGTCATTCCGAGTGAGCATGACATTGGGTATCAAAAAATGTCAAAACACACAATTTTGTACTGACAGCAAACAAAAAAAATGTAAATAAAAATAAAATAAATTTTTATTTTACTTTGTAAAAGCCCAGGGTATAGCCGTATTTCTTAATTTATTTGTTTTTTTTAATTCGATTTTATTATGCAATGAAGTAGAAATAAAAATAACTGAAGTGGGTTTGAGCCAGGTGAGGGATAAGGGAAAAGCTGCCATGTTTAGTTAAACAATCGTTTAAAGGTCAAACGGTATTTAATATGCAAAAACTAGATACCTAAAAATACAGGTACCTATTTAATTAATTTAGGCATCGCAACTACACTATTAGACTTTTAATATTTAATTAAATAGCTTTATGAAGATTGCATAATACACAAATGTACTCTCAAACAAAAACAATTTTCCTGAGCACACTCAACATAAAAATTAACGAGTCTCTATAAACTACTAAAACTTTACTGTAGGTTGGACATTGATAATTTCGCCAAGGTTTCGTATAATGGAGTGAGTCTTGCATATGCTGATAATACAAAGAACCTGGGTCTGATAATCGATCATACACTGTCTTGGAGACCGCAGGTAAATAAGGTTAGTCGACGCGTGCATTTTTCCTACCATTCTCTCAAGCGGCTTCAATTCTTCTTGCCATTCAATACCAAGGTTATGCTTGCTCAGTCTTTACTACTTCCTCTTCTCGACTATGCCGATGTTTGTTATTTGGATGCTACTGAGGAGCTGCTTAACAAACTGGAGCGCCTACAAAATCTGGCAATCCGTTTCATATTCGGTTTACGGAAATATGACCGTGTCTCTGAATTTCGGACTAAGTTGAAATGGCTACCAATCCGACTTCGCCGAGATATGCACGTTCTTTGTCTCCTTTACAAAATTCTACATTACCCCCAGCTTCCTTATTATCTGTGTTCCCGTTTTTCTTCCACAGTTCCCGCCCAAAACGTACCTGTGACACTAGATCACTAATAATCCCCAATCCAACTCGAAATTCTTCCACAACTCTTTCACGGTAAGTGCAACTCGTATGTGGAATAAACTGCCTGCTGGCATTCGTGACAGTCCATCGGTGGCATCTTTCAAATATAAATTAAAAGAGCACTACCTGTCGAACGCGTTGGATAGCTAATAGGTAACATATATTATACAGTAGTAATTTGTTTAGATTATAATATATATTCTGCTTATGTTTGTATTTATATATATAAAGTTCGTGTAGGCGTGTATGTCTGTCATATGTATATATTATCATCCTTTATATGTATATATAGATTACTTATATATATATATATATATATATATACACAGGTTGTCCCAAAACTCAACGTCAAGCGGTCACTGGGCGAGAGGCCAGGTTATATCAGTTCTGGTAAAAATTAAAAAAAAGTCTATGTCACTTAGTTGTGATTATAGGCATTTTTTTGAAAATGTTGAAAATCGATACCCTAGACCAAAAGGAGCTCGTTTCAAAAAAAACTCATGCCATGATAAATAATACTTTTGTGTGCTCAAAGATTGGCTTTAACATCGCGGAAGTGAGATGGTCATATGTGATAGAGTGAGATAGATAGTGACGCTGTGCGACATGAATTAGGGTGAGCGAGACGGATAGTGACGCCGATGCTCTATTATTGATCATTGGTTATTATCATTTAGTACGCTACGTTCCTTCGTTTACTGTGCATCTTCTCGTAATCGTGTAACTTTTGTACTGACGACTTTGGCTTGTGTTACCCTGGACTTGATATTGCATCTATGTTGTATATCTGGCTTATTCCCTGGACTCGATTTGTGTTGTGTAAACTGTATTAGTTAGTACTTAGCAAAACTAACACGTTTCGCGACATGCCGTATCTGTACACAGCGGAAGAATATGCGGACATGCATTTTATTTACGGTGAATGCCATTGTAATGCCTCTGCCGCAGCCAGATTGTATCGCGAGAGGTACCCAAACTTAGAGCGTCGCCCAGGTCACCGCGTGTTTGTCAATATACACCTGGCATACTCGGAAGGACGATTGCCTAGTGCTCGTACGAGCGGTGGAAGACCTCAATGAGACCACAACGACGTAATTTTAGAAGAAATTCTAAATGATCCCAGCACTTCAGTACGTGCGATTGAAAGAGCCACTGGAATACCGAAAAGTATTGCTCATCGAATTTTAAAGCAACTCGAATATCACCCGTATCATGTGCAATGTGTACAAAGTTTATTACCTCGTGACTACTCTCTCAGAATGGATTTTTGTAGAACAATGTTGGCGAGAAATCGTGAAGATCCGCAATTTATAAACAAAATTTTATGGACTGACGAAACAACATTTAAAAAAGATGGTTATTTAAACTTGCACAATGTACATGGCTGGCACACGGAAAACCCGCATTTAATGCGTGAAGACCGGTCCCAATACCAATTCAAAGTCAACATGTGGACCGGAATTTTAAATGGACAAATAATTGGACCGTTTGAGTTGCCTGAAACATTAAATGGCGACAACTACTTAGATTTTCTTCAAAACGATTTGCAAACGTTACTAGAAGATGTACCACTCAACATCTATAGAGAAATGTGGTTTCAACAAGACGGTTGCCCAGCGCATTATGCTCGTTCTGTACGTGATTATTTAAACACGGAATATTCCGGAAGGTGGATTGGGCGCCTTGGTTCAATTTTGTGGCCTCCTCGATCTCCGGACCTAAACCCCCTTGATTTTTTTTACTGGGGCTGCATAAAGGAAAAAGTATATGCAAAACCTATAGAAAATCTAGCCCAATTACGCCACAAAATTGTTGAAGCAGCAGAAGAAATTAGTTTGATAAGATTCGCACGATTGATAAAAAGATCTTTTGTGAGGCGATGCAGAGCCTGTATTCGTGCCGAAGACAAACAATTTGAGCATTTACTTTAACATTAAAGTATTAGAATAGTTCCTTTCGTTTTATTTTGATTAAAATTTATTATAATACAACAATCGACTAATTATTAAGTTGATACACTCACATGTGTTAGGGTAGATTATTTTGTTTAATGCGTTGTCACTCATCAGTCATCTCACTCTATCACATATGACCATCTCACTTCCACGATGTTAAAGCCAATCTTTGAGCACACAAAAGTATTATTTATCATGGCATGAGTTTTTTTTTGAAACGAGCTCCTTTTGCAAAAAATAAGTTATAATATTTTTTATGTAATGAAGAGTGGCAAGTATTGTACTATTTTGAAATCTTGATTATATGGGCCATCTTTTAAAATAACTTGCCCAGGGTAGTGTAGTACATTTTTTTTTAAATATGAAGTGTCAAAGCTAGCTGACATTTTTTTTTTAAGCTACGACTCAATGAAACTTATTTTTTTTTACTAAATTCATAACGTGTATTGTTTGATTTGTGACTGCAATAAATAGCATGGTTATTTATGATGACGTTAAAAAAAATCACTCCAAAATTTGAAAATTTGTGATGACAGTACCTAAACATGTGGTCTAGGGTATCGATTTTCAACATTTTCAAAAAAATGCCTATTATCACTTAACTAAGTGACATGGATTTTTTTTTAATTTTTACCAGAACTGATATAACCTGGCCTCTCGCCCAGTGACCGCTTGACGTTGAGTTTTGGGACACCCTGTATATATACATATATATATATATATATATATATATATATATATATATATATATATACACAGTGTGTTAGGGCACGCACTGTACAAACTTTAAGGGGGTGTTTAGTATTCAATATTATGTGAAAAACACTAATACATGTGGGGTCAAAACTCGACTCCCTAGGAATGGCAGCCATTTTGATTTGTTATACTTAGTTTACTAGACGTTGTTCTAAAATTATCATATTATGAGAAGTAAAAGCAGTACGAACATAAAAAATATTTTTTCCGAAAGTTAAGATTAGCGGCAATTGAATAAAATATCTGTCATGTACATAAAAAAGTAGGGGATTGCCTAATAAAAATAATGAATGTAAATTTTTACCAAAAAAACTGCCAAAAAAACTAAGTTTTTGTAATTTAATCCTAAAATAACCAAATTAAGGTACTGTTTTTGTGTATGAATTTTAAAGTATTTCAGCTGTTCTTAAAAACAAGACCAAAATCATAATCGTATGTCTACAATTCTAAAAGTTTTCACTACTCGAACTTAGTATCTTAACAACACAAAAGATCGCTCTCGGTTACAACAATGGCGATGAGTTCAACCATTTATTACCTGGCTCACTCTGCCCAGCTTGCAAATGTAAAAGGGACAAAAGATAAGCCCCTAAGCACAATTCTGATTGAAAAAAAGTTCTAAGGGTACTTAACGGTTCTTTCCATTCAACAATTAACAGTCAGTTGTTACTCTCTAATCAGACAACACATCTTGACCAAAAGTGCTTTCGGAGTGAAATTTATTGTTGATTCGTCATGAATCAGCAGTATTCAAGTGCGCATATTGCAGATATTCATTTCATCTATGGATTTTGCAATGGTAAGGCACGGGCAGCAGTTCGTGAATACCGAAGGAGATTCCCAAATCGGCCTACACCTAATCACCAGACATTTCGTGATATTCATAGGCTATTGGCAGAAAATGGTATTCGT